CCCACCAAATTGCCTTCCCTTCCGTAAATATTTGCTTCAATCTCAAATTTGTAGGTTGAATAATTTGACATGTATTCCCATAATCAAATAAGAGCCTTGATTTTCGATCATTACCTTCCAAATAATTCGAATAAGATATGATTGCTAAACATTGTTGTCTTCTCGTCAGAACAATTCATGCCACCACCAGTCGATACTCCACCATATATCTCCATTTTTGAGTGATGCCCAATGACTTCCAATAGTTAGTTTATTCCATTTATCACATAAAAACATTATTCTTTTCCTGAGGTAAACTATTGTTGCCACGCTTTAATTACCATGACTAAACAACTATATCCCAAAAAGTTCTTTTTTGAGTCGACATTGAAGAAAATAATTAAGAGAAACTTCATCTTCATCACAAAATCACTTATAGTCATGTTAAGTTTTTTATAAATCGTATATATATATATATATTAAATATTAAGAAAAATCATAAATTTTCATAAACTCTTATCAATATTAATAAAAAATAATAACAAAAATTCTCTTAGTGGCTACCATAGAACTAGCAATGTAGAGAGAAGGATTTATGTAATGTTGTTAAGACAAATAAGTGTATAATTTTGTCCTTTCTTGACTTTTGAGGTTTAGGTACAGCCAAAATGAAAGATGGAAGAAGTTAAAGTTTAGGGGTCATTATAGCAACTACAGAGAGCCCGAGGGCGGCTACAACGCGTTTCCAATTTGTCCAAAACCAAGTGAGCGTAAGCTTTGACCCAAAGAAGGTTCCGTCCGCGGTTTAAAAAGAAAGGTTAAATATCTTTTTTAGTCCCTCTACTATAGGAAAAAGCACCTTTTTGGTCCCTATACCGAAAAAATTCCTTTTTTGATCCCTAAATTTTAAAATCCAACCCCTTTTTAGTCATTCTGTCAATTTTTGTTCACGTGGCACGTTAACTTAACTGGAACAGCTGACGTGGGTATGCCAACATGTAAAAAATGCTTACGTGGACTTCTACACCTTCCACGTCACTCTCCCACGCGGGAAAAGGAAAAAAACCATAAACAATGGGACCCACATTCTGAAATACGCGGTAAATATAAGTTGATTGTCCCTGAACCCTACCAGAACATAACCCTAAATTCTCCATTTTTTTTTTCCAGTTCCCTGTCCAGAAATCATCTTCTTGCTTTCGAAACTCTTGTTTTTTCATTCAAAATGGAGGGTGGGCTTTCGCGAAGCAACTCGTTCACTGATTATGCATCAACTAGCAGCTTTCTTGGAAAAAAATATGTTTGCAGGTGCGATTTGGATGCTGTTTTGAGAACGTCACTAACTTACCAAAACATGCGAGGAAGATTTTGGGGATGTCCTAAATTCGAGGTGAGTTGTTCATGTTTAGAACGAAAATTTTTGAAAAAAACCTAAACTACTAATTTCATGCTATTTAGGTTGGGAAGGTTGGGAAGGCTGGGAATGCATGCGATTTCTTCCACTTTCTTGATGGTGATGAGGTGATTGAGGGAAGAGCCAGGGATCTCCTGCTGCGACTTAAAGATAAGCAAATTAGGCTCGAGAAAGAGATTCAAAGTTACAAGGAAGAAAACGAAAACCTTATAGCTGAAAAGGGGAAATTGTTGTAGGAAAATGTAGACTTAATGTCCAAAAATGGGAAATTCCTGCAAGAAAATGGTGACTTGAAGGTCCAATGTGAGGCATTCATTAAGAATATCAAAGGCTTGGAGAAGAAAGTGAAGAGGAGTGAAAAGATATGTGTTAGAGCACTTATAAGTTGTCAAATATTTTGTGTGGTTTGCATTGTTTGTCTTCTTGTTTCTGTGTTTATTGGGTTGCATAGATTGCATTAACATTGTTGGGAAAACTGGGAAAATGACAGGATGGGACTAGTGTCTTTTGTGCATTATTTGCCTTTTTGCCTTTTTATGTAAAAGGAATGTAATTTGTTCCCTATATAAATGGCACATGGTCTATTAATTTGATATATTCACTGTACAAGTTTAATTTCATACTAGCAAATACATAGCAAAATGTAATTCTCAACCAAAACACAAGACTTTTCAGTCAAGAACAATTTTTGATTCCAAAAGGTTAAATCCAAAATATTTGCACCATTTACATCAGTCTGGATATCAAAGGTGTACCAATATACATACAACCTATCCCATGAAGCCATCATATGCACAACAGCATATACACCATATACAAAACAGGAATTCGCATGAAGTTGCCTAAGTTACATGTAATGATAGGTTAAATGAAAAAAAAACAAAAAAAAGCTTCATTTCTAATGCACCAGTCAACTTCAAATGGCAAAAAAACACAACCATCTTCATTTCTAATGCACCAGTCAACTTCAAATGGCAAAAAAACACAACCATCAACACCTTCACTCCCTAGCACCTGACTGTCCACCTTTCCTCGGTCTAGCTTTGGCCATTGTGTGCAATTGACTACCAGATTTCTTTTGCTTAGCTTGACCTCTCTTATTTTGTTCCTGTGGTGGGCTAGATGCAGCAGCTAGGTTGCTTTAAGGTTCTGCACTTGGGAATGCTACATCTGTGGGGGTAGTATGAGTTGTAGCTGATGAGGTTAAACCTTTCTTTTGCCTCTTCTTGCTCTTTGCTGTTTGGGAACTTTTTTCCTACTGCATTGAGGATTTTTAGTATTATGAAATAAACAATAATAAAAGCAAACAAGAATTTAAAATATAAATAGTCCTCACCATGGTAGGCCTTTGATTACCAGATTTATTTTCTCTTTTCCTCTTCTCTTCGTTTCTTCGCTCTTGGACAGGTCTTCTTTCTTCATTAACCACTTGACTTGCAGGATTATCAGCTTGGCTCACTGGGTTGTTATCATTCAAGTTCTCAGTGGCTTCAGTGGCTTCAGAAGCTTCATTGTTTCTAGCTTCCTAAATAATAGTAAAATCAATTTGTCGAAAAAAAAAACAATAATTACAAACATAATTTGTAACATTTTACATATATAAAAATCCTTTACAGAATTCTTAAGTTGTCAAATATTAGTACTTACAGTGTTAGGAGGTTGTCCTTTACAAGTCCTCGAATTGTGCCCTCTTTTGAAGCATTTTTTTACAAGTCATCATCCTTCCTTTCCTAGAGACTAATGTTTGCCCTTCCCATTCTTCTAATACCCTTTTTTTTTTTTGGTCGGCTTGGCATTTTCCTAAGCAATGGTGGCTGAATTGAGGGCATTCTAGTTTTCTTCCACTGTGGCATCCCCTCAATACAAGGAATTTCATATTCGTAACTTGCCAAGAACATATGCTTGCTATACCAGTGGCTTACGTAGTGTTCATCTTTTTCCTTCTTGAATTTAATGACACTTATAACATGCTTACAAGGCATGCCTGTCATGTTCCAACACCTACAAGTACAAGTCCTCCTGTTTATATCAACAATAAATTTACCATTGTCTTCTTTTTCAACCTCATAACCAACGCCGCTAGGCCATAGCACCCTGCATCTCTTGCTTCCTTCCCTACTTGCAACAATCTTCTCCCATATTTTAGGACCAAAATCACCAACAAACTTCTCATCTGCAAATGTCCTTCTAGCAATAGTCCTCCTACCACACATCATCCTAAGATCTTCAAGCATTGAGAAAATAGCCTTGTGCCTTGAATCAACAATTAAACCATTAAAAACTTCACACATATTGTTGTCAACTACATCTGACTTACTATCTTCCTTGAAGAATGCCTTTGAACAAAACTGTGGGTGTACTTTTAAAATTGCAACCCTACCTCTCTATTTAATGTTGGTCAATTCACCTAATGCCTTAATGAAATCAGCTTTAGTGGTTGCCTTTACGCATTTCTAGAAAGCTCTCTGCAGCTCTTTGCCTCGGTTATCCTTTCGAAAGTTGGCATATATGTGTCTCGCACATCTTCTATGTTTAGCATCTGGAAACAACTCTTTAATTGCATTTATTAGCCCCTGCCATGCACATTATAACATATTAAATGCTAGACAAATGGATAAAAATAAAATATTATTACAACAGAAGGTCCCAACTTGGTCTCTGAACTTTAAAAGTATAGGGATCAAGTTGGAACCTTAGTTAAAACACAGAAACAAAGCTAGCAATAACCTTCTGTTGGTTTGATATAAATGTGAATCTATTGCCTCTACCAATTTGCATATCTGATTGCAGTTCTTCCAAAAACCATCTCCAAGTCTCTGTCTTCTCAACCTCAACAACTGCCCATGCTAATGAGTACATTTGATCGTTGGCATCCCATCCAACTGCCACCAGCAAAACTCCTTTATATGCTCCTTTAAGAAAAGCTCCATCAACCCCTATTACACGCCTATAGCCAGCAACAAATCCAAGTTTCATAGCGCTGAAACATACATACATTCTCATGGAAATATGATTTGCATTTCTTGTCGGCCTTAGTGCCTGAATGAGAATTGTGGCTGTTGGATCTCTTTTCCTCAGCTTAGCAGCATAGTCCCACAGTTTACTATATTCCATCAAACAATTTCTTTCAAACACACGGGCAATTTTCTCTCTTGCCTTCCGGCATTGTTTTCCAGTTAACTCCAGCCCAGTGTTTCTTCGGATGGTTTGAAAAATGTCATCTGCTTTCAAGTAAAAAGAAGCAAAACTCCTCTTCTTAACCAAATACTTTGATGCACTTGTTGAGTTGAATCTCTTACTTGTCAACTCCTTACCACAAGTATGCTCATGAATATATGTCTTCACCATCCAAGAATCCGTCACCGCATCCTTTGATAATAGTATTTTCCAATCACAGCTTGGGGCATGTTTGCAAACAGCCCTAATCCGTTTGCTATCATTCTTCTTCCATTTAATATCCCTCCTTTGCATCATGTTGCATTTGTCAACAACAGCTTAAAATGTGCCTTGCTCACAAAAATCATCCCCAACCTTATATCTAAAAGAGCATCTTCAACTTCTTCATAAATAACGTGTGTAGCTCTCCTCCTAGAAGCATGATCAGCATCACTTCTATCATCTTCTTTAGTAGAAATGTAACTATATTCTACATCACTTTGCATTTCATCACCATCATCATGGACTACTGTAAGAGGGGTATTAGGACATGCTGCATTCACACCTAAATTAATTGAATTTACATACAATATATGAAAACATAACCAAAACACACAAAACATAAAAAAAAAAAAAATTACAACTGTGAAAAGACAATGACATACCACCATCATGATAGGAACTAAGTCATACATTATCCTCTTGGAAATTATAACAAAAGAACTTGACCTTTTTTCTGGCCTCCATAGCCTCCTCATCTTCGTTATTTGTTAACTCAGGGATATCCATAACAGGATCATAATGCCCTTCATCACCTTCTGCCTCTTGTCCCCATTGAGATCATCATTATGGTCATCAGCCATATTATCACTTTTTGATGTACCTGCACGTTCCTTCTCAACACCAGCTTCATCTTCCTTCTCAACACCAGCTTCATCTTCCTTTTCTAACCAAACACTTTTTGCAGTAAAATCTTGTCTAGGTTCATAATAATCCTCAACTACACTCTCCTTTTCGCTTTCCTCCACACGAACCTCACCATCAACCCCTTTACCATGAGTAAGACCCTCAGTCTCAACCCCTTTACTACCATTATGAGTTTCTTGACCCTTGTTTGCATCATCGCCAGGTGCTGGTAATGCAAGAAAATTTTCAACCATAAAAGGGAAATCTGGTATATGAATTACATATATGTGAACCTTATTGTAAACCCTTAGTATGTCCAAAATTTCTCTAATTGAAGCATCACCTATTACTTGCTTTGCCATTACTAAGTGTCTTTCCAAGTTCCAAATACCATATATGCTCTACCATATCTAGATCATAACGTGCTATTGAAATCTTTTGGAACAACTCCTTCACAGTTAATTTATCTATGTCTACATGCCAGTCCCAACACTCTCCATCAACATATTTAAGTCCACTATCCTGTATTAACCTACCACCTATATGAATAAACAGCACATACTTCTCGATCCCCCAATCACCCTATTCCATAATGCAAATAAAAAATTTAATATTTTACATAATAAGTGCATCTCAACAACTAAGTTTAACGACAATAAACAATAAAAAACAGCAACGAATTATAGAACCTTATTGCTTCCATACAGGTAAACACACTGACCCATGAAAAACACATAAGGTGGGGACCAGATGCCCCTTTTCAAAAAGCAAGTCAATAAACAAATATTCGAAAACCCCACTTTACCCACTTTCTTACTGCACTCATCAGACACCAGGACAATAACAAGACAACACCACCCATTAAGCATAACCTTCACACATCTCAAAAGAAGATTCGTGAACAAAAAGCGTACCTCATTCCCGCTGCCATCTGAATCCCCTTCCAAGTCGATATCTATGATTTCTGCAGACATTGCTGCTCAGCTTCTCTTCTCATTCAACGATCAATCACGACAAAGAGTAAGAAGACTCGATTATAAGGCAAATCGACAGAAAAAGAAGAGATATTGCTCTTTTAGGAATTGTTTTTAAGACAGAAATAGAAAGGAAAAAGGAACGATTGATTTTAGGGTTTTTAAAAGAAAATCATTTAAACTTCCCCTTTGTTTGGGATTGGGGTTTTTTTTTTTTTTCCTTTTCCCGTGCGGGAGAGTGACGTGGAGGGTGACGTGGAAGGTGTTAGAAGTCCACGTAAGCATTTTTTACATGTTGGCATACCCACGTCAGCT